CATCGTTTTCTACGGCAAAAAGTCTGTTTATTTTATGCGGTTTGTTACGACGAACGGGTCGGCGTCCGCGAGCTTACTTCGAATCGTTCTCGACCGAACGAGGATACCCCCCCTCCCCCTCCCCTCAGAATATCGTAATTACGAGGCATAAAATCGTCAAAACTCAATGACGTTGAACGCGATCAACGGACGCAGAATCCACCGCGAAACCAAACACCCAGGGGGCCTCGAATCCATCGGCGTACAAACCTGCGAATCTAATCAGCGCCCTGCATAATGAACGAACCCGATTTTCCGGTAATCCGTGGGTGCCCGTGGGCCGATAAACAAAAGCGTCGACTGCCATAGGAACGCGATTTTCTTGTTCCGCATTGTTCAAGCAGCACGCCGATACTGTACAAACTCACGCGAACTCTCGATCGTTTGCTCCATTATTCGACACCGCAGCCAGAAACTGTTGGCGTTCGGTTTTCATCGGTAATTAAATTGCTCGTTCCAATGTTTCAAGAATCGGTCATCCAAAATTTTTAGACAACGACGACCCCCGTATTCTCTCTATATACTAAAATGAACCGCATCCCAGGCAGAGGATCCAAATCGAAATTTAACTCTTTCGTCAACAGTGCTAGCTGATTGAAAACTTAATCATTTCGAATCTCTCTGGTATTTTAAACTCTCCAAGACAAACGTAAATATTAATTTAATTGATCAAAAATATTAGGAGGTTCTTAAGAAATTCTCAAGCGTCGATCTTCGATTTTAATCAGAAATGTTGAACGAGGTCGTATGCAGGTCGCAACACTGTTTCGAACGCTCCGTATAATCGAGCTTCGCCAGTCTCGCAGGATTTCTATTCCGTTTACACGCATTTCCCGGCGAACCTTATGGCGGACGAGGATAGCGAAGTCGGTCGTCGCCAGCATCATTTTTTGGCCTGCAAACGAGGAGATAAGCCGTGAAAAGCGCGACGCGGAGGAGGGCGGGCCTCGCGAACCGGGGGACCCCGGCAAATGACTCTGTTCTTTGTCAAGCTGCACGTGACGGATATTACGGCAGGTGTTTTCGTCTCTGCCGGTCGTTCGGAGATATTGCCTCCCCCGCCACCGTACTCCTCGGGATCCCGTAAGGATAATTTATGGGGTCGTCAGGGTGCCGAAGGCAGGGGAGACGAGACCCGGGTCGGGTCGCGTGACTCGAAAACTGTCGCTCGGCCGCCGGTTACCGGCACGAGAAAACCTTCCTCTAATTGGACGGCCGATCGAAACGCGACGGCCTCTTCAGCGTTCGAGTGGCCGGCTAACTCGCTCCAACATTCTTTTTTACGCCGGGAGAGATTGAAAAGTTGACGTGATCGGCGAGCACTGGAATTTCGGGTGGCATGGCGAGTCGACGAAGCCTCGTCGCTCGAAATATTTCGGCGTCACGGACCTCGCTGTTTCCGCCTAAATCTGTATTTGGCCGGAAACGGTTCTCCGCTTTAAAAAGCAAGTTTTCGAAGCGCGCGATGATTTCCAGGATGCCGTAACGCTCTGGCAGGTCCTGGAAGGTCCCGGTGCCGGTAGATCGTTCGTTAAAACAAGTAGCTTGCCGTTGGCCGGGTATCGGATATCGCTAATCGCGCGCGAGGAAACTCGAAGCCGGTCTCTCGGTCTCTCGGCCACTCGAGCCCCCTCGCTCGTCCGCCGAAAAACATCAGTCGACACCTTCAACCCCTTCGAAACTCGATGCCCAGCCTCGTATTCGTGCCGCGGGATTATTAATTGCGCGACGAGAGCCGGTCGACCGTAATTTCCGACGGAGGCCGTGCTTCGACGACGAATATTCGGCTCTCGGAGAACTTCGGGTACGCCGTGTTTGATGGATCGCTAAGAATCTCGGGGGACTGTCCTGCTCCAACGAATTCGCCGGATGGAAATAAATCGATGCTCGTTACAACGAACGTTCGAAGGATACCGAACTCCGCTGTTGCGACAGAAACGATTCTCGGATCCGACGAATTCTAGCCGAGTGCGAACAACATCGTGCCCCCTCGAGCTCTTCCCGCAGATAATCGGCGCACCTGGTCAGGAACCCCCGGCACCCATTCAGAGTTCCATCAGCGGTCGTTAAACTTTCATTGCCGTGAAAAGCGTAGTTTTTCCGCGGGAGACACGCGGACGAACGGGTCCGATGCCGCTCGCGGGAACGAACACGTACGAGCGCGGCGGATGCACGTTGCAGATTCTTGCGGTCGCGTATAACCCTGGAATTCACGTACACGCGCGCGCGCATACACGGAGCAAACACATGGACGAGCCGCCTGCGCTGGTATGCGTGGACAAACACTCGATAAAGAGATAGAGAGAGAGGGAGAGAGGGAGAGAGAGAGGGGGGGGGAGAGATAGAGAGATAGAGAGAGAGGGAGAAGGACGGAGGCGAGAGGTCTACAAGCCACGGAGAATCGTGAATTTTTTAACCGGAAGCGCACTGCGGTTTGCACAGCGGCCGCAGCTGAGGATCCTTATACGTGACGGAAGCCCTTCCTCAATATTAAGGTTTAATATTTAACGGGAGGTGCGCGTTACTTCCGGTCGCGCATCTCGGTCTCCCTGTTATTGACTGTTTCTCGCGGTCTTTTTTCTTCGAGGTTGTTGCAAGCAGATTTCATGCGTTCGTATGTGTTTCGAGAAAATATTGTTGTATACTCAAAACGGTAGAAAAATCGAGGAAATGCGAAGGCAATGTCGCGTTACGTTTCTTACCACACGAGTGACATTATCTTCGTGTAACAATCGCTCGTTTGTCTCGGACCGAGTTTATTTTACTGGTGAAATATGTGCTCGATTAACAGAGATATTTCGGATATCGGGGCTTCGGATAACCGAGGTTAGAACGCGGACGACCATTTTGAAATCGAATCATTCTCATCGTCGCTAACTTCGTCCCAGGTGTAACCGAATTTGGCGGAATCGCGATCGATCGCAGTGAACTAAGTTCGTTTTATTTCGATTCGGCAAGTTACCGCGTTAAACGGTGAATTTTCATTTGGCTGTCCGTAAAGGACCAACGCACGATTGCGCGGCGTTATTAGCGACTCGGGGAGCTTTGTACAAGCTCCCGTATCCCAGCGGGGTGGCACTCGCAAAGCCGAGTGTTGTACTTGCCGCGCGTCCTTCGTGAGAGCTTTCACGAGCTCGAAATAAAACAGAAACGGCACGGAACTTCCCCGAAAGTTTCGCATTTTAATTTGTTCTACACCATAAACCTCGGAACCTAGTTACAGCGAACCTCCGACACCCCGTCGTAAACTTGATTGAAAAACTAAACTTGTTAGCCGATTTCAGATATATCTGTAATGTCCGCGTTAACGCAGCAGTTTCCGCGGGAATTTCTTCGCTTCTGATCCCGCGGTTATAAATGTTCCGTCCAATGTTCGCCGAAAGGGAGCAAGGATTAAACACGGGTCTCGCGTCCACGAATCATTTTCTGCGAACGTTATCTCCGAGAGAAGATACAAATTTCTCCGAGTCCGACGTCGACCGGCGGACAGGTAATTTGGATGATCGCGTTCCAAAAGCGATCCCGTCGAAGATTACCGAGTATCGGAATCCGATCTCCAACTGCTTGCCGCGTCCTTATTCCTTGACGAATCATCGGATATTAAAACGGAAAACGAGCCGATCCAGCCGAGAAACCAGCGCGAGCTGGACGAGCTTTCTCGTCCGATAAAATTGCGGGCTTTTCCTTGCAATGACCACGCTTCATCCGACAACCACACCGCTCCCCCAAATCGTCGGCAATTTTATTCTTATATCCCGATCGATCGACCATTCCTTCCAGTTATAAAAGCCTCGGCAACGAGATTCTCATTTCTTAATCTACTATCTTTGCAAATTCTTCTTCTCTTGTATCGTGCGGGAGATGCGCAGGGTGGTCGGATACGAATAAAACCGAACGTTTGTCCAGGAATTCTAGCGGCGGAACGTTGGTTCGCGAGGAGTGGATTCGTCTGCTTTGGGGCGTGTGTTTCGGGGATGGTGTATCGACGACGGGCCACGTACGAACTGCGAAACTCGTGCCTCTTTCTGGGAAAACTCGCCGATGTTTGCCGGTGTCTCCGCGCGATAGTTGCTCGAACAATAGTTCTCGAGCAGAGCGGTTAGCGACATCCGGCGCGGTATCGGCCCTCGGACGCGTCGCTTCCGGTGGCGGAAGGGATACAAGAGGTTACAGAAGAGGTTGCTACCCCTCGAGGAGTCCTCGGGCCGCGTCGGGCCGGGCCAAACTGCGAACTTTTTTTCAGCCGCCTTCGGAACAGGGATAATGCAACGTAACGGCTGTGCCCTCGATCGTTTCGGGGCGCGTGAGCGAGCGGGAACAGGGGCAGTTATCGATTAATTGGCCCCGGCCGCGTGAAAAACGGTCCGTTTTTTTTTCTTCGCGCCCGTCGACCGCCGTCGTTAAACGAGAAAACGGATCCACGGGAATAAGGACGATTCCTCGAGCTCCTCGCTCGCGGGAATTAATTAACGAGGACGGCAGTTTCAATGCGAAAGGAATCGGTCGACGCCGCTGCGGAGACACAACGACGAGGGGCTGGCACGGTGGATTAATTAAAACGGGACGCACGTTAATATTCCTGGCGAACGCGACTCGTCCGGGCAACTCTTTCACGTCGCCTTTCAGCTTCCCGATTAATCCGGATCGTGGATAGTTTCCCGATCCTCGGGGAATCTGCGGATATTTAGGGGACGCGTCGTCGAATTTGGCCGATCCAGCTTCGACACCGATTTCGAGACATCCGTACCGCGGATCTCTTCTTTGCGGAACGTTTTACGAGACTCTGGGATCGTCGGATTTATTTTTTGCAGACATTCCTGTCGACTGGAATGCGACCAAATTCATCTCGAGACGCGTGAAAATGCGAACAGACTCGGCCATAATTAGAAGCAAATAGTTGGTCTTTTCTTTCGTCGAGGACGCGCAAGATCGAGCAGAGTTTGTCGAGCTTTCTGTTTCAGGTTCTGGCTCGATCGTGGCGATTTCAAGATGGCGCTCAGATACATGAACCTGCTGAAGGGCGCGCCTAGATCGGTTGCCAGGGATTGGATGAACGAGACCAGGATCCTATTGGAGACCCAGCAAGCCGTCGACACCTTATTAGCGTACGCGGGAGCGATCGGTTTGGTATTCCTCGGTGCTGGAGACGCGAAGGTCAGTGCCAACTAAAAAGTCAGAGGGTCGTGCGCAACGAGAACACTGCCAAACCCGAGAATGCGAGGTCAAAATGCGATTGCTAGAGTTGAACATCGTCCAATTGAAACGTTCAACAAGCCTTCGGCAGTCTTTAGGTGAATTTATCGTTTCTCTCGTTCGACTGCCGCGGATAGGTGATCATTTGTATTTTTTGTTATTATTTACAACGACTGGTAGCAAATGGTGAAATACATAGAAATATTTATATCGATTCTGTTGCGTTTTCGTTCTCCTTGATTTCTCCGATTGATCGTTCGCTGCTCGAGTTTTCTATGTACGTTAGATGGCAAAAAAATACAGGCGTTTAACGATGCTTCGAAGATCGGTCGTATCGACATCGTTAAACGCCTCCGTTTCTCGTTGAAGTTTGCCGTACATGCTACTACGTTCGCGATGTTAACCGTGACACGATCAAGTAAAATCACTGACCCATTTCGAAGCAGTCCAATCGCTTCTCCGCAACTTTCAGAAGCGGCGCTCCCAAAAATTGATAAAGTACGGCGAAAATGACAGATAATTTACATTTTAGCCGCGCTCGCTTTGTCGCGAATAATGAATCCCAAAGTAGACGTTAGCCAGGAAGTACTGAAACTCGTGGAAAACCGCTGGAATACGAATATCGCGCGTCACGTTCTCTTCGTTGTGCTTCGGACTGTTGCAGTAGTCGACGCAGAAGTAAAAGCTCGCTTCGGGAAAGCTGTCCATCGAGATCAAGGAAGGCGACGCGCTCGAGAAGCACCGGGAGGGACGTGGAACAGACACATACACACACATACACGTACACACGGACACGTGCACAGAGTTAAATAAACAGAAAAGTCACAGATACTCTTAGCAATGCGAACACGAACAGCGAAGGCAGCGAAAGGAGGAGTGGAGCGGCTCGGAAGGACGGCGAAAGAAATATGGAAACAGCTCTTGCACAATGGACGATATTTTCTGCCGCAAGACAAAGATAAAGGGGAGAAGACAGCGCGCCCGAAGAAGAACGACCGAAGTTCGACCTTCCCTCGCCACGTTGATTTCGATTCTCGACGACCGCGAACGCGTTCTTAAGTGAATATTCGGAGAGCGAGTCGGGGCCAGATGATAGATGGACTCGCGCCGGGAAAAAAAGACAGAGATCGTTGCATAAAATGGAGAACGCGTCGATTTCCGTGGGAAATACGCACGGTGGGTTAATCCTGGGACAAAATGCGTCGAGAACGCGGGATACGGGCTTTCTCGCGACGGCCTCCGCTTTCGAGGAAAATGGGCCGCGAGCGCGACGATCTCTTCGGTCGGTGGTTCTCAATACGTACAGCCTCTTCGATCTTGAACAATTTATGGGACGAATTCGATGTTCGCTTCGGTAGCGAGAAGTTGGGTAGCGCAATCGGTGGTCGCAGTTCAATGTTTAAGCTAGGTATCCGAAGGTTGATTCGGCTTCGCTTCGCTGATTCGTCGACTCGGCAGAGAATGGCGAGCTCGTCTTGGAATCGATTCGTTCGTCTTATTTAGATAATTAAGCGTGCCCGATATATTACAGCGCGAGCGAAGTATTCGGTTGAGAACCACTAAAACGCCAGCCTGGCCGACCAATTAACTTCAAACACCGTTCTCCCAGAAACGCAGCCGCTCTAGAAGTAAATTCATTCCGCACTTTCGTTTCATTTCTAGCCGAACAACGAGTCTCGCATGAAAAATGTTGTATTCTACGTGCCCGGCGTCTCGTTCCAGTCGATTCGAAAGCTACTATCGAAAATTGGCCTCGGCGATACGCAGAATTTAATACTTCTGTTTCGCTCGCGACCAAACAACAACTGTTACGTTCTACGTACCGGGTGTCTCCGTTCGGTCGACCGAGAAATAACTAGCCACACGTCTGTCGCGATGGTTCGAGGAACACTCGAGACTCGTTGTTCGACGAACGAGCGCTGTTTCAGCGCACTCGGAAGAAGGAAACGCGCAAGAATGGGATAAATGGGGCTCGTGAACGAGGCTCGTCGAGGGCCGAACGTTACGGCGCCGTCGACGATCGAAACGAGGCGACGAGGACATCTCCGGGCCGGGTCACTTTCCGTCGAGCGTTTTAAAGGGAAGTTGGACCGCCGCCTAATTTATTTCGTTCCGCGTTTTCCAACGTTAATCCGGGATCCGCGTGCGCCAGCTGGGTCCGCGCGTCCCCTCGTTTCAACCGGAGAGGACACTTTTGAAAAACTATGCCGGGCTTATCGGATCCGAGCGGCCCGCACCGCCTTCTCTGGCAAATTCTCGCGACACTTTCGCGTGTAGCGCGGTGTAATCACGGGGAAAATGCGGAATATTTACCCGTGTTTTTCGCAACCCTCCGGCGGAGTCGCGCGCGGTTTTCCGTGCGGAGAATGTCCCGAAAGAAAATCCGCTCGCGTTAATTACCAACGACATTTCTGTGGCGTGTTGCTCCGTGTCCCTGCAACCATCAAACTCCCCCGAATAATTTGTCCCGCGAGTCGGTAATCAAGCGTAGAGAATGTTACCAGCCACGTTAGACAGCGTTCAAGGGTTGACGGTTAAGATATTTGCTACTATCTCGCGCTTTATTCGTTTCAACATTTTCATAGTTCTTTTCGAGCGATTTGTATTTTGTATTCCCCTGTGAACGACACCGCGGCGCAGCGTCGATGTCGTGTTTTTTTTTTAGCAGCGCATCGAGGCGACGAGTATTCTGTAAAGCAAGCGACCTTTTGTACCTGTCGATCGCGATCCGGCGATCGCGTTACCGCGTGGAAAGTCTGTTCCGCCTGTTCGAACGCGAGTTGTCCGTTGCTCTCGGATCGTCCGGATCCGCCGAGAAACGAAAATGGTGTGCGGTCGGCCCGTCTCAAGGGACGCCGCCTATCGTCCGCTAGCAAATAAATAGAGAATTCGACAAAATAAACGTTTCATCGTTCGTCTTTTCATCCCGAACGACTCGCGAACGATCGTTTCAGCACCGAATCGGTCGAGGCATCGATATTTTCTAGACACGCAGCTGATTCGATCGACGAACTCGGCGCGTTGCCGGTCTCTTTCGCTGTCTTTTCTTCGTAGTACGGTGAAAATTGAATTGTAATTAGATGCGAAGTGGCGAGAAAGACTTTGCTAATAGCTTTGTTTAGAGCGAAATAAAGCGCGGTTAACGGGCGAACAGAATAAAGCATTATGCTCGACGAAGATCATGGTTCCGAAGCGAACGAGGACGATAAAGCGGCGCGAAGACCGTGCTCGTAACTCGAAGCATCCTGGACGCGGCGTACACCGGGGACCGGAGGCAAACGGCTCTGCAGAGTGTGCTCACCGGTTGTAGCGTCGCTTGGAAGCGACCTGGAGCTTCCTCGAATGATCAATAAAGGTTTCATGACTGTTTCAGACTGCCGCTAATGTATATTTTATTGCACACCACGTGTCCTCCTATCCGCCAGTTCCGGTCGTTTGTTCCGTTTAACCCAATCCTATCGTCGCGCTATCCAAGAAGGTGTCGCGTCAAATTGGAGTTCTCCGGTTATGAATAAAAGAAAGGAGGATCTTGAAAAATGCATTCCGAATGAATATTCATGGTCGTCTGCGTTTGAAGCGGATGCGCATTCATCTACGTCGCAAAAGGAATGGAAAACGCGTATGCAAAATTTCGTGACACCATTTTTTTTCTTTACTATCGGATTATTCGAGATCGGATAACGGACGAGCAGAAATTTTATGAAAATTAATTCGGTCGTCTGCGGTAATCGGAACGATCGCGTTCGTCGACGAGAAGATCACCGACCACTTGTAACTTCTGAGAAAATTATCGTTATTCCTGGGAGAAATTGTAGCGCATTCGTTCCGACGTTGGTCGACGGTCGTGGCGTATTTGGAACAGCGTATACTTTGCAGGTTTCCGTTGGAAAAGTCGCCAAAGGTGTGTCGAGTGGGCGAGAAGACGCGCAAGTGAAATAAGAGAGGGAATCAGGAGATAACGAAGAACGGCGATAAACGAAGGCGGCCCCATGAGAATGAACTTGTTTGCGGCGGATGTAGTGTTTTTCTTCTCGGCAGGAAATAATGATAGGAGGAGGACGGTTCCCCTCGGCGACGTATTCGGCCGCGACGGAGGCGCAGCGTCATGATTTCGCGAATAAATCGGGAATCTTGGCTCGCGTAGGAACGAGATAAAGCAAGTTAATCAAGCGTGATGCGAGCAACAAAGAAAACGGGGTCGCGGCGATTCCCGGGCGGAGATAAGCTCGCACCGAAAATCCTCCCTGGGACAGCGCAATTTTTCATGGCCGCTCAAGAACAAGGCTGCCGGTTGGTTTTATGCATCGATAAAACAAACGCCGCGCCGCAGATCCCGCGTTATCCGATTAGATAACTCGGAAGGAGCCGATTGTAATTCAGCCTTATGCGTTTTAACCAGGTATTCTGGTTCCTGAACACCGTTTTACCAACAATATCTGGGCATTTTTCTCAAAGGAACTGTTATAATTTTTGCATCAGTTTGCCGCGCACACATCTTTGGAGAACAATCGAAATAATACTAAAAACATTATCGTGTTATTTGAGACTGATAAAGTATGAAAAGAAATCGCACGACAGTATTTCAACGCTGTTTTTCTCTTCTAGAATAACCATTTAGGTTGAAATAATCTTTAAAACGTTCTAAATTGATTTCTTGATTTTCAGAAAGAGAAATAATACATTGAAAATAAAACCATCTTAATAATCTATTCGTCCACTTACAGGCGGAGGAGGAGGAGGGGGTGTTGAATAAAACACTGCACAGTGTATCGACAGAAGTTTATTGATGTTTCATGTGTGAGAAAATTCGCACAGAAATGTGTACTTACAATTAGAAATTTAAAGATGGCTTCTGGAGTAACTGGTCGACAAACTCGATGACAATTGTAACGTTTAAAAAAAAATATGTTTCGCAGCGTACCGATGCGTACGCGCGCGTCCAGAAGGTCGTTAATTTTCCAGGGAAAAACTCGCGAAAATCACTTGGTTTTACAAGTGTTACACGAGAATCCGCTTTTAAATAAAACGGCCGAGCGGTTAACAGGCCGAATGAACGTCGAGCCGATAATACCGGCGCGGCGGTTCCATTACGAGTTGAAAAACGATCGTTCGAACGAGCCAATCTAACGTCATATTCGACACCGTTGGCCCGCGTCGAGCTCGAATCGCGTGCAGGGCTTGGAACGGGGCGACCGCGGTGATTTAAAATCAATTTGGTAGCCACGTGTTTACGGTAATGGCCCCGCTTGTAACGACCGAGTTCAATGCGGATTTAGCCGGTCCCACCGTTACCAATCGCTTCAATCTCGCGCGAAAAGCCACTTCTCTATCGGAACAATTCCATTGACGTTTATAACCGCCCCTTGCTCTCTCGATAATGCTCACTGGATTAAGGGTGCGATCTGCTGCGATACGTATTAACAGCCTATCAGCGTTAATTAACGCCGAGGCTTTCGAAGGGAGGCGGGATGGCAGCCGAGTGTCATAATTCGCGATCGGTCTGCCCGCGATAGCGCGGTCTTTCGTTTTCGAATCCGAATTCATCGCTCTCGAGGCTTCAATCGGAATCGATTTCACCGGAATCGAGTCCGCCGAGAGCCGATTGGCTCTCTCGGCAGGGTCGAGATCGAGCCGACGATGTATGACATCGTGACCCCGAATTCAGAATTTTCCGCGCGGAACTCGTCCCCGTTAATTTAGCGTATCGTGCCTTTCGTTTTTCAACCACGCTGCGCGGGCTTCATGTACTCGGATCGGACACCCCTGAATTCCAGTTCAACGATCTCTTCGACCGCGTTGCTCTCTGAAAACTATTCGAATCGCAAATTTGCGCGGCTCCATGCTGGTTACAATCTGCACGAAAACTAGAACGGAGAAACAATTTCTTCGGTCGTGTAAAATAATTGAAAAATCGGTTGGAAATCGTGGAACGAAGATTTATGGGAAAAAATGGAATTTCTCCGCGCTCTAATAGAGAAGCGATCGAACCGAACGAATGCTACATTAATCACCGTTCTCTACAGGTTAACCATCCTTATATCAATCAGTCGGGAACCACGGAGTCGTTCGCACGGAAAGTTATAGGCTCGTCGATGCGGAAAGAGATACGATATCTAGATATGTAACCTCGACGCGGCAAAGGCGTCGTCGGATCGCGCCGAGGTGGACGAATCAAAATAATAGACTGCTAATATATCCGGTCGACGGGAATTCCTGCCGCCGAATACATTGTCCGGGGATAATTACGGCTCGATGGAATTCGAGTAGACCTCGTGGCATTCTCGGCTCCATTCGCGACGCGCCAACGCGAACAACGGACTTCTTCGGACACTCCTATCGCCTGTCTCGGTTTTCCGTTCGATTCTACGAGCGATTCGAGAATCCCTTCGTCCGGTAAGTACATTGATCGTTTCTAAATTATCGACGAACCCGTGCCTTCAATTTTGATTCGTCAACGTTTTCTAACATCCATGTTCGTCGCGTTAAAAATTTATGATCGAACGGTGAACGAAAGATAAACGAGTCGGTCGAGTTGGACAAAGATCGAAGAGTTCGATTTAATAAATACGTAGGACGTAGCTGTTTTATTAAAACGCGAAACGACTTTATACGCGGACAAAGAACAGGTCGATTAATTGTTTAAGTTACAAAGTGGAACTTTCGGTTTACGCTCCGGTAAAATGTCTCCGGCAAACGAATTCTTCCCCGACTGAATATTCTGTCTTTGATGAGACGCGGAGTGTGCCGAACCGCGCAAGACACAATCTTCTTTGTGGACAGAAACTCAATTTAAAGGGGTGAAATCAACCTCCAAGGTTGCCGGCGCTGTTAGCGCGATTCCTGGTTAGCGCGGTAAACAAATTTGCATAAAAAGCAGAGCCTTCCTCTCGCAGCGCGGAACAAAAGCGTGTTCGCGAGCTTCGCGCGATGTAGAGGCGCGGTACGAATATTGTGAGAAAAGTCAACGGTTCTTGGAACGAAAGAACGTTCGAACGTCGTTCGACGATGTAAACTATGCGAAAGATCGAACGATTCGTAAAAATCCGGCACGCCGAATGGCGGCTTCTGCTCGGAAGGTTCGGAACGCGGGGGACGCGTTTGGTAAACCGGAAAAGACGCGGATTTCCGGCGACTCGCTCCTCCTGGATCCTCCGGTCGCGGCGAATCATCGCGCAATTCGGTCGCGCCATTAGCATATTTATTGCGCGTCAGTTCGCGGCCTGATCCCCGCCGAAATCGCAGCTGACCCGTGACGAAAGCGCCCCGCTAGAAGGAGACAATGATGTAATTATCGTCCCCACCGTCGAGCCGAGCCGCCGAGAGCAGTCGGCCCCGCCGAGGACGATCGAAGGCAGGGGACACGCTTTTCCGCTCTAATTTCGCAGCGACGCTAATGAAATTATTCTTGACGCCGTGGTGCGCCGCGCGGCCTCGCCGGCCCGTTTTCAGCCGAAGGAGGATCCGGAAATCGCGACGACAGGGGAGAAAGACTCGGCTCGGAAAGTCCTGCGTCGCGAACGCCAGGAACTCGATCGTTTATTCCAACAATCGCACCCGACGCGATTCCCGGAGTCGCGGTCTCCTAGGACGTTGCATCGTCGCGCGTCTTCGCTTCGTGCAGCGTCGAAATGTTCCGCATCGATCATAGTCGGCACGGTGCGCCGGCACGGATTGCGATAAGCTGCGCCGAGCAGAGTGAAACGAATAATAAGCGAGTTAACGAAGGCGATACAACCATGAATCATCGTCGACGCTGAACGGGAAAAAATCGTCCTTTGAATATGCTCGGTCCGATGGCCGGGGGGGAAGTCGTATATCCTCATTAGCCGAAACACAAGCTCCTTAATGGCGACTTAACGATGATTAATTAGGCACGCTATTAGACGGCGTTCGCTGCCGATGCCGGCCGTAGAAGTTCCGGACGGAACAACGAGGATTACCGGCTCTTCGCTTATCCAGCCAGAACCTGGGCCGAGGAAAGATCGGGTCTCGGACGATTCCCGGGGGAGCGGTTGCTCGGGTACCACGCGGAATTTTAATCGCTTAACACAACGAACATCCTTCTTTCCCCTCTGTTTTCGTATTCCGACGAGGTCCCTTTGATCGTTTGGTAGCTGTAATGACCGCGGGGCTGCGCCGCCGAGCTCGGACAATTGTCGAGTAGTTCTCTTTACGCGTGCAGAACACTGATTTCTGAAACGGGGGATCGTCCGTGCCTAATATTCCAGGGGTGGCCGAAACGCCGACCGCCTAATTTAGTTGCCTAAATTCCTAGTCGCCCGCCTTTCTGATATTACCTATGATTATTTGGAATTTGAGCTTACCTTTGCCTTTAACTTACTATATTTGGCTTTAATTTACTACTTTTGGCGTTTCA